GTGTGGGTTGGTGTGTGGTTGTGTTGGAGACAGGGTCTGCTATATTTCAGGCTGGCCTTAAACTCATGTAGTCTGGGTAGGCTCAAACTCACAGTGATCCTCCTGCCTCAGCCTCCTGAGTGATTGGGTTATAGGTATGCACCACCACACCTGGGTTCTTTTCTTTAGTATTGGAGATTGAACCCACATGCTCACTGAGCTACATCCCCAGCACATTTTTTACTTTGAGACAAGGTCTCACTAAGTCCATTAAATTTTCCAGGCTGGGCTCAAATTTTCAGTCCTCCTGCCTTAGCCTCCCAGAGTACTGGAACATGCCTCCACACCAACATGTTATGATTATTGGTTTACAAGAGATAAAAGTGCTAAACAAAGGAGAACTAAATCTAAGTCAGCTAATATTTATCAAGTATAATTATCTTCCCACCGAAAGGTATGATGCATGGCCTAGCTATTGTTTCCATCTTTCTTGCGGTGTATAGCAAAGCCTGATGGCTGGGTCATGCATCAATTTCAGAAGTGCTGCCTAGATTGTAGTATGTTGGAGGAAGCAGAGCTGGCGCTCTTGAGGTCCATTATTGTACTTTTGTTCTTTATTCATCGAGGCCTTAGTTATGTGTTTTAAGCAGAGCACTTTGTATAGAAACTTCCCTGAGCTCTTCACGTTTCCTGTAAAGTGGTGGTGATAGCCACTGCCACTCTTGGAGGCCCTGATGAGTTCCCAGCACTGTTCAGGGTGCTTTCATTCAAAGGTTTCCAATAACTCCATGAAGTTGGTATCATTTCCTTTGTCTTACAAATGAGGAAATTGACAAAAATGAAGAAAATTAAGTAATTCACACAAAGCACTAGATTCACATACAGGGATTTTTGCCCCAGAGCTACATTGTGTTGAAATAGAAGTTCATTGTTGCTTGGAGGAAGTTTTTTTAAAGGTTGTGCACTGTTTAGTTACCAGAAGAACTTGCCTTTGGGAATAGAAGTTTTCATAGACTCAAATATAAAATACAGTATATCACTTTCATTTGATTTAGTTGACCGAAGAAAATTAATGGATTTATCCAACTCAAGATTTATATTCTAGCAGGTCTTAGTATTATAAAATAAACCAAGTTTGAGAGTTTTCACCTTCTCTTTGTCACTTGTTTGATTTTTTTCTCTTTTTGGTTTTTTTGAGACAGGGTCTTGCTTTGTAGTTCAGGCTGGTCTTGCACTCACTATGTAGCACAGGCTGGCCTTGAATTTGTGGTGATCTTCCTGCCTCAGCTTCCTGAGTGCTGGGATTACAGGTGTGTGCCAACATAGCTGTCTGTTTGATATTTTTAAGTGGTTGACAGCTTTTCAGAGAAGGAACTTCCAGAGCCTGTTATGGTAATTAAAACATCCAAGACTGGGCCCTGACTTTGGGAGAGAAATCCTGATTAACAAACAAGGTTCTTGTGAGGGGATTTTCAGAACTAAGTAGGGAGAGAAAGTTGAGTATATATTTGTTTGTTTGTTTTTTGGTACCAGGGATCAAACTTGGGACCTTGTGCTTTTGAGGCAGGTGGCGGCACCACGGAGCTAAATTCCTGGCCCTTGAGTATATATTTGTATAGGTATGTGTATAGAAAATATATTCTTAGAGTTGTCATACTCTATTATTAGCCGTACTTTTACCAAACATAAGCTCTGATTTTTTTCATCACCGATAGGAAAATTCTTTTTTTTGGTACCGGGGATTGAACTTGGGACCTTACACTTGCGAAGCAGGCGGTGGAACCACTGAGCTAAATCCCCGGCTGTTAGGGAAATTCTCAAAAGGGAATGTTTAGGAGATGATGGGTTTGAGTGACTTTTCATGCCTTTTTTGCCTCATGGTAATCTCAGGGTTTCCCATATAGACATACAAAAATTGTATTTTTCTATATTTTTTAGCATTTTAATATTTCAGATGAGATCAGGCGAGGGTAGTATAGCCATAGATGCATTTCAAATTTAAAATTCAGTTTTATTTTATAATTTTATTCAGGAAACAGGCAGTTTTTAAAAAAGTTCTGTAACCCTGACTTTGAAATTTTTGTATTACTTTTGAGGATACATATCATATTAATTTCCTGAGGCTATCTTTTAACCATTACCACAAACTGGATGGCTTAAGACAACAGAAATTTATTCCCTCACAGTTCAGGATACCAGAGGTCTGAAGTCATGGTTGGTTCCCTTTGAAGGAAGAACCTGTCTTGTGCCTACCTCCTGGCTTTTGGTAGTTGTTAGCAATCCTTGGCATTCATTGGCTGTGGCTGTGTAAGTCGGATCTCTTAGTAGTCACGTGGGCCACCTTCTCTCTTTTGTCTTTCCCAGTTAGTGTACCAGTCTTGGGTTTAAGGGCCGTTCTAATCCATTATGGTCTCATTTTTAGCTAATTAGGTTTGCAAGGACTTTCCAAAAAGGTCACATTCGGAGCTTCCAGATGGATATGCATTTTGGGGAGATACATACTGTTCCACTCACTGTGTGTGTGTGTGTGTGTGTGTGTGTGTGTATGTATATATAAATGATTATAAGTGGGTTAATCACTAAATTAAGTGTAATGTTTATTACATTTATAAAATAGGACATTCTGTATATAAGCAATCTTTAATCTCATAATTATGTATAATTTGGTTCCTTTATCAAGCTAAAACTATCATTTTTTTTCCTTTCCAGTATTACAGTAGGAATTAAATATGGGGCCTTTAATTGAGCTATATCCTAGCCCCCGCCTTTGAAACAGTCATGTATGTACCACTTGTGGTTCAAGCAGGCAGAAACATATACGGCTTCCTTTCTTATGTGAGAAAGCAAATCCAAAAATAAATACAGGACTGGAAATAAGTAGCTCAGTGGTGCAGCACTGCCTAGTGCCTGGGTTTAGTCCCTAGCACCATAACAAGCAAACAATTCCAAAGCAAAACAGTCCCCCTCAGAGTATTACCTGTGCGGTATCACAATAATCAAAAAAGCACAAATAAGTTGGTATAAGTTATGGTCTATAATATTAATGTGGCAGGGTCAAAATTTAAAATGTTCATTTCCTTTGATTTAGTTTTTTTTTTTGTAACGGGGATCAAACTCAGGACGTTGCACTTGGGAAGCAGGCAGTGGAACCACTGAGCTAAATCCCTGGCCCTAGTATTTTGTTTTGAGGACTATCCTAAAGAATTGTCCAAATAAGTGGGCAAAATGTATGGACAAGAATAAAGCTGGGGGTGATGATGCATACCTGTAATCCCAGTACTGGGAAGGCTGAGGCAGGAGGATTGAGTTCAACGCCAGCCTGGGCCAGTGAGATCCTGTCTTTAAAAAAAAAAAAAGTACGTTTGTGTGTGTGTGTGTGTGTGTGTGTGTGTGTGTGTGTGTGTGTAAATAATGGGGAATAACTAGAAAAAGCCCAGCTGTATGGTTTATGAGGGATTGGTTAAATTGTAGTGTTTACACAAATAACTAAAACACAGCCATTAAAAAATTATAGAATAGATGGTTGGATCTATATGTTTTTATATAGCTGTCTGTGATAAATCATCAAATGTAAAAATATTGCAGAGTAGCATCTATGGTATGATTTTCTTTGTTTAAACACACGCACACGCCAACACACATTTATGCTACATGCGGTGGCGTGTGTGCCTGTAAACCTGGCTACTTGGAAGGCTGAGGCTGAAGAATAGAAATTTAGAGGTTGGTCTGGACAACATAATGACACCTTGTCTTTAAAAAAACAACAACTATGTATATAAATAAATACCACATGCACACGGTGTGATTGAAAAGTGTTGTGAATGTTTAGCTTTAAAAAAAATTTGTGGGATGGCCGGGGATTTAGCTCAGTGGTTCGGTGGCCTGCCTTGCAAGCGCAAGGACCCGAGTTCAATCCCCGGTACCAAAAAAGTTTGTGGGGCCCTGGGAGGGGTGCTTTGTCCAGCGGCATCACAGGTGGTGGGGTGGGGGCAGCGGGGTCAGACAAAGCAGCTAATGAATGGGCGCTGTACCGTCCGCCGAGCTGGTGCTGCAGGAAAACCAGGACTGAGTGTGTGCTGACAAGGTGGTGAGGGTCCTTTCCTTAGGACCAGAGGCAAGTCTGGCTGCAAGTACATATGGCCATACCTTGAGGGATGCATCTAATGCAACACTTCCGAAATGCAGTGCTTTGGGCCCTATGACAACTTGTGCTGGATCTCCACACTGTTCAGTGATGTTTGTGATTGGCCATGTCCACAGAGGCGTCCCAGAAGATGGAACAGATGTGAAACATGAGGTGATCTGCGCTTGGGCCACACATGAGCATTTGGACCAATTTCTCATTAATCTGAGATGTTAATATGATGAAGCAGGTGGGATAGTTATGGTTGGTCATGGAAAATAACCAGGAAACTTGTCTCAGTTTTTGTTTCTGACAAGATAAATTTCAAAATAGATGGGGAGGATGATGATCAAATCCCTAGCCACAGTCTGGAAAGAATGGATTTCCAAAGTGAGCAG